GCATGAATTTTGTTGAGCGTTTTGGTGATGTATTTCTTTAAATTCTCTCTCTATTTGTTTCTTTCTTCTGATACAGGTTTAGGTTTTAACTGCCACCTAGAATATTGATTGACAAGTAACACGAAATTAACATGTTCTTAACAAAAGGGATTTGGCCGTGAAGTTAAAAGTGTAGACACTTTCCTTATGACTCTGTTCGTTTAGATTTAGGCTGGCTGTAGAAATGAGATGAATTGCACACCTTGACAAAATGGAGTATTGAAGCCATAAAGTGTCTGGCCTGGGGTGCCGCCATCGTAAGCAACCTGGGGAAAATAGCTCTAGACTAGTGTTTTTGTTCTTGCTCATCAGGTCACTAACTGATTGGAAATTTCTGACCAAAAGGATACATGATTATTGCAAACCATGGAAACATATAATTAAGGGAAAAACTAAAGTAATTACTATTTCGTGGAGAAACTGCCTGTTTGATATTGAATAGCCTGTTTCCATAGTGACCAATTTCCTTTTATAAACATGATCTGTCCAAACAATTAAAAGCCAACCAGCCATAAGAAGAAAAAGGATGGAATAAATTCTTCAAGATATTTGCCTGTAGTGATTCCAGTTGTATCGTGATTCTTGTTGTTTGAGAACATTTGTTTTCAAAAACCACATACTTTTTTAATACTGTAAATGTCCAATTCTTACGTATACATTCTCCTATTCGATGTCAGTTTTTCCTGTGGCTTTTGCTCCTACCTGAATCCTGGAATTCCTACAGTTCCAGGCCAGCCCTCTCTTAGGAGCTTCCAAAATCCCATGTCCAGTTGCCTACTGTCCTTGCTCTTTGAATGTCCCAAGAGTCCACCTCAAGCTGACATGTCAACCCCTATGTCATATCATCTCACCATTCCTTCACCCCTCACCTCCAAACTAATCGTATTCTGTAGCACTCACATAGTTTATCATCATCTACAGAGTTGCTTCACGCAGAACAGAAACCTGGCATTATTCTTGATGTCCCATTCAGCCACTAACCTGTTGGTTCTATTACTCTAATCATCTCCTCAGTTCTTTGCTTCCTCATTTCCAAACCCACCACCACTGCCTGCAGGGACACTGGTGTGTCCTGGTACTTCGATGACCTTGNTGAGTTTAGTAAATAAAAATGTCAACTCTCAGCTGTACTGCAAGCTTTTTGAGGCTCTAGTACTACACTGGACCCTCAGACATATTTATATTTCTCACAATTTAATAAATACTTTTTTTGCTTACGTCTCCCTTTTATCTAACCTGCCTTTGGTGGTTTCCACCACATAACCTACCTGCTGTACATTTAGGAAATACCGTGTTTCCCCCAAAATAAGACCAGGTCTTCTATTAATTTTTGCTCAAACACTCTGCATTTATTCATTTATTCATGTCCAAAAATCTACATTTATTCAAACAATGATGTCTGGCGACGATCTTAACTGGGGCTTATGTTTGGGGTGGGGCTTATATTACAAGCATCCTGAAAAATCATGCTAGGACTTATTTTCTGGTTAGGTCTTATTTTCAAGGAAACACGGTAAAATTTTGTTTCGATATGAGCCTAAGTTAATGACAATTAAAATAAACTGGAGATAATTAATATTCATGACAATAATAGTATTTATTGATGATTTATGAAGCTAAGTACTTATATGCATACAATTATTGTCACTATTTTATAGATGTGGTGCCAGAGCACGGAGATGATAGTAAGTAACTTATTCAAAGCCAAACAAATAGTGAGGAGCAGAGGGAAGATTTAAACTAGTTTCGCCCCAGAGCCTGGGTTCTTAAGCATTGTACCAACTCCCCCCCATGAAGGTACACGTGCCGGATTTCAAAGTCAAGTAGCCGATGCGCATGACCCATGACTGCTGTGTTATAACTAACGTATGTGAGAATACCTGGCATAGCGCTAAAACTAGACTTAGTATTGTTTAGTGCTCATTGAATTGGAATAGAAATAATTATTGTTGCCTTTCGTTATTGCCCGATAAAGTTGATGATACCTTGTATTTCCTTTTAATTTAACTACAGGTACTAGTGATACAGACTTACTACAGACGATGGCACGCTAAAATCATGGTAAAGAATATAAGAAGACAAAAAATGTTAAGGCTGAAGTGGGAAGAAGAGGAACAATTAAGAAAAATAAGAGAAAAAGAAGAATGGATGAAATTGGACTATTACCGGAGGCATAATCCTCAGACAAAAGAAGATTTTGAACTTCTTTATAATGCACTAGAACGTAAGTTGGAAATAGGGTTTGCATAAAATATTATTTCATCATTTTTCTTTAGTAGGAGAAACAGGTTTGCTAAAACAAAAGGGAAACCCTATTATTTTAGAAAAATGTCTTGGGAATCTGGATTAGACAATTTCAAAAGATGAATAATAATAAAAGATACATTTGGGACAAAAATTAAGGCTGGAATGAAATTGGACATGCTTTTATATTAACACTGGGCAAGTTATGTAGTTTTAGTCTATTATCTCATTTGATCGTCATTCCTGTAACATAAAGAAAGTACTCTCCAGCATGGTTCTTGGATGGTCTTGGGCATTTGTGAGCTCAGAGCTGAACTGTCTCCAGTTCCTCCATATGACATCCTGTCTCTGATCCTGCTCTTTGGAGGAGGGGCTTGGCAATACCTTTTAACTCCTTCCATTCATGATAATACAAAGTGTATATCTTCTGCACATTTGACTTTACCGTCTCAGTTCTTCCATAGGATGTGTGCTGGTCACCGACACAGTTAAAAGCTTCAGTTACTTGAACAAGCCAAGCTCTGCACATAGGGTCATAGATGCACTGCTCTTAGAGCCTTTCCCCCCGTCCACCTTGCAGTCTCAGTTAAATGTCACCTGCTCAAAGGCTTTGTGACTGACAATACAGCATGTATATCCTACTGTCATCTTACGGTTCTCACTGCACCCCAAACTTTTCTCTTATATCACATAATTTCTAATAATGCATCTTTTGTTGAACATTAATTTTTACCACTGGATTGTAAGCTCCAAGAGAGGAGAACTAATTTTTTTGGGATCTCTCTTTTTTGTGCTTAGCTCACCTTCCGACAAATATTGGTAGAATGAATGAATGAGTGAAAGAGTGAATGAATGAAGGGGAAACCGAGGAATGTAGTAATGAGCTGTCTCTAGTGTCTGCTTTTTCAGGAGTACCTGGTAAAGTAGAAGTGACTGGCACAGAAGAGTTTTCTTTATTACCTGAGATGCCAGCAAATGACATTGGGGTCTTGTGATGACACAGAAGAATTTTTAAAATTAAAAATAGCCTTAAAATATTTTTTTTAGTCTAACAGTCTTTTGATCCAAAGAAATAACATAATAGTCATTGACGTCTCTCTAATGATTCATAACATTAAGCAAATATTTTTTTACTGCAACTTTGTTTCTTTATATGCTATTTGTGGATATTATTATGTGTTCTGCTACTCAGGTCATTGTTTCCTCTCTAATTGAATACAATTTCAGGTGTCAGTTTGGGTCTGTTTAAATAGCGGTCTGATAATATGCTGTTTACTGAAGATGATACAATTAAAAGTTAGGTCCAACAAATAATATTAATAAAAGTATCTCTGGTAACATGAACAATTGAGAGGGGTTGGGAATGTAGCAGTGTTTGAGGTAACAGTTTTGTTTGCTCCCTACGCTCAGATGTCTGTTTCCCCTTTCTCCTATTCGCTGATCTCTGCCAATACTTTCAGTTGTACTTTAAATTTTGCTTCTGTTTACATTTTCTCTGTCAGAGGGAAACCCGTCATTTCTAAGTGTCAGTAGTTAAGCGGAGAGCACTGTTAGCAAGGTGTCTGTGAAAGCTCTTACTGACAAGTATAAAACTGAAGTTCCATTAGAGCAGAACTGTAGCCAAATAATGTTCCAAATTCATATGCGAATAAACCAAAGGTTTGGTTATTTTGTTTGGTTAACAGGCAAAGTAATAGGAAGTCAGAGGAAATATGCTGAATACCTTTTCTATGTATTAGTGGTATTAACTTATACAAGTTACTCACTTTGCCTAAGCCTCGGTTTCTCCATCTTATAAAAGGACTTAATTTCTGGCACATCTACTACAGAGGGCTTTATAAAGTGAAAAATACAAAATATTACATTTAGGAAAGTATTTAGGAAAATACAAAGACCTATACATATATAAGTTACTGTTATGTGGTAAATAATTTTATACAGATTTCCTGTACTAAAGTAGAACAAATATATTTTACACTTCAACACGTGATTTATATGGAAGAAAATGAAATTTCTTACATAAGGGACATCTCTCAGTTTTCTTCTAGTCCTAAAATTCTAAATTTAAACTCTCAGAATAGTAATTATTAAGTCTCTTTTGTGTAGTTAAAATTTCTGGTACACAAGCTCAATATTATATCACTCTTCTATTTAATATGGTTTTCA